GGTTTGATCTGGGAAGTTACAGCAAGAGGGAGTGGAGCCTTCTGACCGCTGGCAGCCATGTTCTTTCTGGGATGGTAGTGTGGATTTGATTGTTACTCAGTGAAAGGTAGAAAGCCGGGGAGCTTGGGGCAGGGGGTTGGTATCACGGTAGGAAAATGGCTGAAGAATCACTTTCTGGGTTTGCCATTGGCTTATAAAGGAAGAATTCTCATGAACTGTCTTTTGAAGTAACCTAGTTGCACCCTTTCATTGTAAAGATGAGGAAAACAGGGTTGAGAATGGAAAAACCACTTGGCCAAGAATTACACAGAAAGTTAATGGAAGGTCAGAGACTTGAAGCAAGTCTCCCAATTTTTTAGTGTTCCTTGCACCCTACACATCCACTTAATGGAGGTAAGAGGGTGTACTCTCTCACCATCTCCCCCTCTCTTCTCTCTCCCTTTCTCTCTTACTCTCTCCATCTTTTCTGGGAGGGGGGAAAAAGAGAGACAGACAGAGAGAGAGAGAGAGAGAAGGGGAGGAGAGGGGAGGGGAGGGGAAGAGAGATTCTTTGTTCTCTTTCTATCACTCTCCATCTGTTCTCTCCTTCCTCAGTCCCCCCTTCATCTTCCTTCTTTCTAATCTCTCCACCTTCCCTTCCCTGACCTCTTCCTTTCTCATTCTTTCCTATCTCTTTCTCTCCTTCCTCTTCCTTTATCCCTCTTCTCTTCTCTCTCCTCTCTTCCCTTCACTGTTCTTTGTTTCTTTCTTCCTCTCTTTCATTTTCTCTCTCACTCCCTTCTCTCCCACCCATTTCTCATTCTGTCTTCCTCCCTTCTCTTTCATCTCTCTTTTTCTCCTTCCCACCTACACACAAGACACTGAATGCCATGCTAAGATCTTAGTTCTGTTGAGACCAAGGTCTCAGAAAAACAAGATGCCCACTGGGCAGACCCCCAAGGAGAGATATAAGGGACCTCTTGCTGGCTGCTAGGTGAATAACAGAACTCCCCCTGCCATGATCTGAGAGAGCCTGGGAGCTGGCTTTCTTTCACCCTGACTGACACATAAGAGTAATTTACTACATTAATATTATGCTAGGAACAAACACTATTTGTCTGCCTCCAAAACTCCTGGAGGGATGATGGTGGCAAGGATGCAGTGATGTCAAAGCCAGACCCACTGCTGCAGCCAGCATTCCAAACAGCATTGAGGCCTGAGGCAGAGAAGCAGAAAATCTTTTGATCCAAGGCCTTCTGTTTATCAGAGCCCAGCCCCGTTGTCAGGACGGTTGTATTGGGCCCCTGACTTGAAGCAAGGTCCCTAGCCCCATAGGGCAATTGGGATATTGAATGCTCTCCACTGTATTTCAGGAAGGACAATGATAGACTAGTGAGGGAAGGACATTCAGGAAAGGAGGAGGACAGCCAGGATGGGGAAGTGTCTCAAGTGCATGCCACATAAGGTTGGGTTGAGGGATGGGAACACAGAGAAGAAAAAACTTGGGGAGAATGTAAGAGATGGGTCTTCAAGTATGTCCAGGGCTGCCACGTGGAGGAGGGGCGAAGCTTGTCCTACTTGTCCCCAGAGGGAAAGGCCAGGAACAATGGCGGAAGTCACAAAGAGGGAAATAGAGGCTCTTTATAAGGAAAAACATTCTATCAAGAAGACCCTTGGGAAGTAGTGAGCTCCCCATCACCTGAGACACTTCCAACAAAGGAAGGTGGGATAGCCCCTTCTCAGATTCCTCAGATACATCATTTTTTTTAATTAAACACTTTACTGATTTTTAGTTTTCAACATTCACTTCCATAAGATTTCAAGCTTCAAATTTTCTCCCCTCCCTCTCCTCCGCCCTCCCCAAGATGGTGTGCGATCTGATATAGGCTCTACTTATACGTTCATATTAAGCGTATTTTCACATTAGTCATGATGTAAAGAATTAGAACCAAAAGGAGGAACCATGAGAAAGAAGAAACAAAACAACAAAAGAAAAGGAGAGCAAACAGTCTGCTTCCACCTGCATTCAGACTCCAGAGTTCTTTCCTCAGACACATTATAGAGAGGATTCTATTCGGGTATGGGTGGGAGTAGATGACCACCGAGCTTCCTTCCAAACCTGAGATTCTTTGGTCATATTGCAGGCGTTCAACCATTTCAGTCATGTCTGACTCTTTGTGACCCCATTTGGAGATTTCTTGGCAAAGATACCGGAGTGGTTTGCCATTTCCTTCTCCAGACCATTTTGCAGATAAGGAAACTGAGGCAGACAGGGTGAAGTGACTTGCCCAGGGTCACACAAACTAACAGTTGTCTGAGGCTGGAGTTGAACTCAGGAAGATGAATCTTTTGACTCCATGCCACGCTGTATGCACTATGGTGCCACCTAGCGGCAGTAGGTGCTTAATAAATGTTCATTGGATTGAATTGAATATGTAAGAGAAGTTTTATATTGTATGTTTTGCCTGGTGTCTAAGGTGTTCCTGTCTCTAACTCTTGTAAGTGACTTGCCCAAGGTCACTCAGCTTTAAAGTGGCAGAGTTAGGACTCCTAATCTGGCCTCCAGACCTCTGGGCTCGGTAATACAGACTCTCCTGCCCCATCCTGCTTTCCCTCTTGGTGTCTTAACAAATGCTATCACCTCCCCCTTCCTCCTCGGTCATGTTAATAACCAGAAATACAAAACATTAGATGTTTTCCCCTTTGTGCAGCAAGGGAACCAAGCAGAGCCCACAGGCTTGATGAGAGAGAATTAGCTCTCCACCATCTGATTTTATCTGGGCTCAGTCTGCAGGAGGCCCAGGATTCTGTCCTGTTCTCTGGTTTCTCTCCAGCATTTCCAGCCCATGGGGTTTAGCAATGAGGATGCTAATCCCAGCCCCAGCAGGGCCAGAAGAGAAATGGGCAGCGAGGACTGTTTGTCTCCCTCCCTGCTTGCCAGACCATGCAATCCCTGAGGACAGGCGATATATTCTGGGGCACACACAGCACAGGGAGGAAATATCCATTCATGGAGCTGTCTGTGTATGTGACACAGAATCTGAGAATGTCAGAGCTGGGAGGGGCCTTAGAACAGGGGATGTCAGGGCCGGGAGGGGCCATAGAATAGGGAAGGTCAGAGCTGGGGGGGAGCTTAGAACAGGGGATGTCAGGGCTGGGAGGGGCCTTAGAACAGAAAGTGTCAGAGCTATAAGGGACCTTACAGGTCATCTAGACTAACTCACTCATTTTGCAGATGAGGGCACCAAGGTCCAAAGGTGAAGTGACTTTTCCCAGGTCCCACAGCAGTTAATGTTAGAGCTAAGACCAGAATCTGGGCCACCACCCTTCCCACTGTGCCAGGCTCCTTCCGTGGTGTTTGGTGATAGAATCTGTAGCAAAAGCAAACTAGGCAGAGGCAGTGTTTTCCCTCCATGCCCCCACCAGCTAAGACAGACCGCAGGCTGCACCCACATAGTAGGAAAGGGCAGCAAAATGGACGTATCAGGCCAGACCATTTCATGACTCCATCAAGAGTTCAGGCTGGGCCTCAGTGGGTCCTAGGCCCTCGGTGATTGCTGTGGGTAACGTTAGTGTTGCTGTGTTAAAGGCAGGGCCTGCTCTCTGGGGCCTCAGCTTAAGAACGGTGGCCAGCCAAAGATGCACCAGTTCATGAACCTTGAGGTCACCTATGGCAGGGCGGAAAGTACTTCAGACCTAGAGCCAGAGGGCCTGGGTTCAGGTCCTCTCTCTATCCTCACCAATGGTATGACCTTGCATGTGTCATGAAACCTCAGCTGTAAAATTCAAAAGCCACACTTGTGCTACCCACTTCACATGGGATATCCTATCTCCCACCACCATGCCCCTGCCACCCTTATGCCTGTAATGACTTCCCTGCTTACCTCCACCTCTTAGAATACTTAGTTTCCTTTGAGACTGAGCCCTAGTACCACCTCCTACATGAAGCCTTCCCAGATCTTTCCAGATGCTGGTCAGTGCCTACCCTCTCACAAAATAAAATAAAATAAAAACTATCTCGTATTTTGCATTTACTTTACACACACACACACACACACACACACATATACACTAATAAAACATAAGGTCCCTGAGGGCAGACACTGTTTCACTTTTGCCTTTGTATGCTAAACGCCCTGGTACCTTTTGTTGTTCAGTTGTGTCTGACTCTTTATGACCCCATGTACCACAGCACACCAGGCCCTTCTATCTTCCACTATCTGCCTGGCACATAGTAGGAGTTTTATCAACATTTGTTTTATTTATAAACATATTTATAAATAGTTGTTTATAAAATAAATATTTATATGTATTCGTTTATAAATATTTGATTGATTAATGGCTCCAGTTCAGTCCAATCTTAAGGGTTTCCTTTATGCAAGGCACTGCCCACGTGTTAGAGATGACAAAGACAAAAATCAAAACTGTTCCCGCCTTCAAGGAGGTTACATTCTACTGGAGAAAACAACATGCAAATAGTTCATTATATAGATGAGCATTTGAGGGAGCAAGAGAGAATCTCACCAGCTAAGATCTGGTTTCCTCTAGAAAGTGGCTTATGAGCTAAGCCTTGAAAGAATACTAAAGGCAGAGGAGAGGGGAAGGAGCACTCCAGGCAGGGGACACCGCTTGGGGATGGAATACTTTTCAGGGTATACCAAGGAGGCTGGGAAGGCTGAAAAGGAGAGTGCATGAAGGGGAAAATATGAAATAAGACTGGAAAAGGAGGCCGAAACTTCATGCTTTAAATGCCAAGCCCTGGAATTTGCATTTTGTCCTAGAGATAAGGAGCCATTGAAGAGTGTTGAACTGTAGAATCATGGGGGAAAACTTGTCCTTTAGGAAGATGATGGGACAATGGGTATGAGAGCACTCTATAACTATAATGTGCTAAGCTGTTATTGTGAATATCCCCTCCTTCATGAGGATGTAAGACATTTGAGGAGGCTGTTGGCACCAATTAAAGGGGACCTCTTCCCATGTCCTTCTATTAATGAATCTCTTTGTCTTCTGAGGAGCAGGGTTTAGGGGTGAGAGGGACCACTGGAGGAGTGGTAGGACCATTTGCATCAAGACCCACGAGAGTGGCCAGAAGGAGATTGAAGCCTTTGACGCCGCCATCTTGCTCATCCGAAACCCCTACAAGGCCCTCATGGCAGAGTTCAACCGCAAATATGGTGGCCATATTGGCTTCGCCTCACAGGCCCACTGGAAAGGCAAAGGTAAGGACCATGGGTGCTACTCCAGCCTGGCACGCCAGTCAGGCCACCCACCCCCAACAGGTCTGAAATAAGCTCAGGAGCTTGGCCATCTGGAGGTGGGACCTCTAGGGATAGTCTGTGGTCCTTGCAGCATCCTTGGGGTGTGCATAGGAGTAGGGAGTAGGATATGGTGTCCTTTCTATGAAAAACTCAGTTATAATACCCTTTGGGATGTACACTATCTTTTTAAAGCAATCTCTTTTTTATAGCCTCCCTCTTCCTATCAGATTTTCTCCATCTCCCCTAAGCTAAGCCTCATCTTCTGAGATGCAGACTCCCTGAGTCCCCTGTGGGTGATGGGGTCTCTTCCAGGCCTTCCCTCACTCTCTCCCAGATGCTCCAGAGTTACCACCTTCTCTGCGGTGCTGCTTCAAAGCATAATGTGAGATGCTGTTAATTATAGCAATTTACAAATTGCTCCCATGAAACTGATGCCATTGGAAAGAGTTAAAAATCTCTAGCTTCATTGAACATCTGCTCCCCTCCATTCCACGTGTCTTTAAAGGGAATGTCTACTGAGTCCCATAGCCCCAAACAGCTCCCTGCCTGATTCTCACCCCAGCAGGGAAGAGGATCATGAAGAGAAAGAAGATGGCAGTGGGTTCACTTCTCCTGAGCAGGCGGGGGGCAGGAGGTTTTGAATTTTAGTGATTGAAGCCAGAATGAGAGTCTGAGAATGAGGCTCTAAGTACTCCCAGAGAGCATAGAAAATATATAGTTAGAACTAGAAAGGACCTTAAAATAATAAAAATGTTAAAGCTGGACAGAGTCATAGAGAAGAGAATGTCAAAACTGAGAGAGGACTTAGAACAGGGGAATATCAGAGCTGGGGAAATCTTAGAACATAGAATGTCAGAAGTAAGGAGGCCTTAGAACAAGGAATGTCAGAACTGGAAAGGGCCTTAGAACATTAAAATGTTAGGATTGGAAAGGACTATAGATTGTAATGTTTTTTTAGCTGGCGGGGCTAACCTTATTACCCCATACTTAGCCCAGAGAATGTTATAACATAAAACATGAGACATTTGAGCTAGAAGGAACCTGAGACAGAATGGAAGAACCAGATGATGCTTCAGAGACCATACTGACCATCAGTCTGGACAACGTCTAGGATTGTTCCAGTAACCTTTTTGTTAAGCTTTTGGAGTCAGAATTTGCTGCTGAACTAACATTGCTGGGCACACCCTCCGTTTGGGGAAATAGTTACGCCAGGAAGGACCAAGCTAGGCTTCTCCACCACCCCCAAACCTGATGCACGGCCTTGACTGTCCAGGGATGCCTCATGTCAGAAGAAGAGTTATAAACTCCTCTGAACCAAGTTGGGCCAGGCTCCCTCCCAGGCCATCTGGAGTCAGATCATCAGCTGAGTCTAACTCCCAGTTGCTCATTCGCCAGGGCTCTAAGAGTCTATAAAAGAGCTGTCCTTCAGTGCAGGGCACTATCCAGTGCCGTTGGACTGGGTATGTCCACCAATGTCCCATTCCTACCCACCACTCCTTCCCCTCTTTACCCCTGGAAGCCTTTACAGTAGAGAACAGAAGGACATTTCTATTCTCATCTCTACCTCCAGAACCTACTTCAGGGTTACACTACTCCAGACCAAGGAAGTTTCCTTGAGGATATTAATCTTCAGCCTTCTTGGGTTGCCTGACCTAGCTGGACACTCAAGGTCTCCACCTGGGCCATTGTCACTCAAGTGACTCTTCATTGACCTTGAGCCAAAATCTTAGCTACCCAAATGTCTCTAGACTTTGGGGCAGCATAACATGGGAGGAAAAGACATATCTTGAGTCAGAATGCCTGGATTCTGACTTCTGCTGTGTGCTGCCTGTGTGACCTTGGACCAGTCCTTTCTCCTCCCTCTTCCATTCCCCTAAAATGAAGATGTTAGAGGAGATGGACTCCATCAATCAATTACAAGCATTTATTGAATGCCTACTATGTACGAGGCACTATGCTAAGCACAAGGGATGCAAGATAAAAATGAAGCAGTCCCTGACCTCAAGGAGCTTACAGTCTAACAGAAGAAACACTATGTCCTTATGAAATATATACAAAACAGAAACACTAAGAAAGTTTTAAGTGTTGAGACATTAGCAGCCAATGGAATTGGGAAAGGTCTCATTAGGAGATGACAGTTTGTCTGAGTTTTGAGGTAAACTAAGAGTTTTAAGAAGCAGAGAACATGACTCTATAAATGCACAGGGGTGGGAGATGACCTCTAAGGTCCCTCCTGGCTCCAATGTTTTAGGGATTTTGGTGGAACAGAGACTGTGGCAGAGAAGGGCCTAAAAGATAAGGAACCTTTCGTTCCCAAGCTCACACTTCACTTAAGTCTCTTCCAACTTTAGATCCTAGGACTCACTGACCTCGAAGGTCATTCTAGATCTGACTTCCTATGGCTACGTTCCCTTTCACTTTTTCTCTCCTCCCTCTGACTAGCCTGTTTCCCCTACACACACAAAAAAAGACCAAGCTGTGATTATCTTTACCTTCTCCAAAAAAAAGGAGAAGAAAGGGTCTGGTGAGGAAGGAGCTGCAGAGCTGGCATCCAAGGACCTGGTCTGGAATTCCACTTCTGCTGGGATGACCTTGGGCAAGTCACTTCTCCTCCTGGGCCTCGGTCTTTTCCACTCTCAAATGAAGGGGTTGGACTAGATGACCTGTGGATAGATTCAGAGCTACAAGGGGCCCTATAGGTCAGTTAATCTAGCCCCCCTCATTTTACAGATGAGGAAACTGAGGCTGGAGATGGATAATAGATTTAGAGTCCAATCTCCCTCATTTTACAGGTAAAGAAACTGAGGCTAGAGAGAGATCACAGATTTTGACACAAAGGGATCTCAAAGGCCATCTATTCCAACACCCTTCATTTTATACAGGAAGAAACTGAGGTGGGGGGGGAAGACTGACCCAAGATGATTCAAGTAGAGGCATAATTTGAATCATGCTCTTTCCACTGTGCCTGACTTGTGTAAGATCACACAAATAGTAAGCAGCAAGGCTGAGTTTGCACTCAGGTCCCCTGCCTCCTAAGCCAGCCCTCTCTCCATAGCCACCTCTCCCTTCCATTCAATGCTCCTTTGGGTTCCCTGCTTCCAGAGTTCAGCCCTCCTTGAGTTTCATCAGTAAGAGGAAGGATTAAAGTGACAGGGCTCAATGGCGCTGGGCTTTGCAGCGGGCTGGTGCACACAGCTGTTGGAGACATGGCTCTGCCTCTCGTCACCACACACCACCCCCAGTTCCAGTTGTGCATCTCCCCAGTCCGGGCTGAAGGCCCCTGTAAAATCTGGATTTTGTTCCATGACATTAATTTTATGATCTCCCTGGAGCGGATCCAAAGCAAAGTTTTATGTGATATGATTACACAAGGTGAATTGTCCTGGATCTGTGTAATGAAACAGATACTGTGTTTAATGATTCTTTGGGGAATTAAGTGCAGTTGGGCTATTAATCAGGCATGGGTTCCTGCAGGAGAATGAGACAGAGCACAGAGACCTAGAGCTCGCATGCCTTGGGAACTGTAGGCACGTGCCTGCATTCCAGTGCCAGTGGAACCAGTGCCCAGTAGCAATGTTTATTGCAGAACATGCACGCTAAGATCAGTTACCAAGAAACCAGGGATAACTGCAAGGACTTCCCTTCTCTCCATCCTAACACTGCCCTGGCAAAAAGCACTTGGAGATGAGATGGCTCAGGAGCTTGGAGGGGTGAGGTGCAGGACAAAACTCACTGAGGGTTGTAGGATAGCAAAATACCCCTGGGAGGGGTCTTAGTGGACATCAAATTCAACCCCTCCTCCCTCATCTTCAGATAAACTAAAGCAGGTAAAGTGACTTGTCCAGGGTCTCACAGTGTGGTAAGTATCTGAGTCTGGATTCAAACTTCTTGACTTCAGGTTCAGTGTTTTATCCAAGATTCTACCCAGCTGCCTCTGGGAAAGAGAGCCACAACTAGAGTCAAAAGACCTGGATTTGAATCCTGGCTCTAGCACCCTCAGATTCAAGTCACATACTCCATGCAAGGGGCAGAGGCAGCTAGATGACTCAGTGAATAATGCCTCTTCCAAGAGGAGCTAGGTTCAAATGTGACCTCAGATACTTACTAGCTGTGTGACCCTGGGTAAGTTACTTCACCCTGTTTGCCTCCATTTCCTCATCTGTCAGATGAGCTACAGAAGGAAATGGCAAACCACTCCAGCATCTTTGCCAAGAAAGCCCCAAAAGAAATCACGGAAAGTCAAACACAACTGAAATGACTCAACAGCAACTCGTGCCAGGCACTGTTTAAGGTGCTCAGGTAGCTTCCATCCCACTGAGGCACATAACTTGTACACAGATAAATAAATACAAAATATTGTCAATTTTCAGAAAACAGAGAGAACACTAACTGTAGTGGGAGTAGGGGGGATAGTGGGGAAGGATCAGGACAGCCCCCTATGTAAGGAGCACTTATTAGCATGAGCGAGTTAGTTGACCTCCCTGGGCCTCAGTTTCCTCTGTAAAATGAAGGAGTTGTACCAGACAGTCTGCAAGATATCGTCCAGTTCTAAATGCTATGATCAATTTACTTATGAAGCAAAAATACATTCTGGTCCTATGACTTTGGGTGAGCAGAGACAAGGTTCTAAGGGAAAGGATTGGGCCCTAAGGGAAGGTGGCTTGGGAGGGGGAGGCTGCACTGGGCTATGCACAATACAGACCAGACCCTGGGCATTCTCACAGGGTCTGCCAGGCTGCTGGGAAGCCATCCTTGGTCATTGGTGTACCTGGGTGGCAGAAGTCTCTTTACTATTCACATGTGCTCAGGGGATTGTGGCTGACCTCCTTCCTGTTAGAATAGAAGCTCTTAGAGGGCAGGGGTTATTTCCTTTTTGCCTTTGCATCCCCAAGCACCTACACAGTCATTTGCACATGGTCAGGGCTTTAAAACATTTGTTGGATTGAATTGAATCACAGTCAAGAGTTCTCAGCTCCTTCATGCCAGCCGTAGCACATGTGAGCTAGGCAAGATCATAGAAACTTAGAGCTGAAAGAAAACTTGAAGATTATATGATCCAGACTGCACCAAAGCAGAAACCCCCATCTTCACTATCACTAACAAAAGTTCTTCCAGTTTTCCTTGAAGACCTCAAAAAATAGGATATTCACTGTATGAAGCAGTCTGTTCTACTTTTTGGACAGCTCTAATTGCAGTTGGGGGTACCATGGATAGAGCATCAGGCCTGGAGTCAGGAGGACCTGAGTTCAAATTTGATCTCAGACATTTACTAGCTGTGTGACCCTGGGCAAGTCACTTCACTCTGTTTGCCTCGGTTTCCTCATCTGTAAAGTGAGCTGAAGGAGGAAATGGCAAACCAGTCCAGTATCTTTGCCAAGAAGATTCCAAATGGTGTCAGGAAGAGTCAGACATGACTGAAACAACTAAACAACTTATGTATACCTCCAAATCCAACCTTCTGTCTATAACACCATCATTAAAAGAATGTCAGAAAAAAGAGCCCCTGGGCTGGGACATTGGACCCCTGGTTAGTGATAGTGTGACTTTGAACAAATTTCTGTCTAAAACTCTATTTTCTCATCTGGAAAATGGGCATTCCAAAAACCTTAATGCAGATTTAAGTGATTAGAACAACAAAAACAACTTAAAACTTAGAATTGCACTGAGACAGTTGGAACACTTGATATATCTGCCCTACAAACCTTCCTGTGGGAGTTGGGAGGCTTTACAGAAATAAGAAGCAGGAAAGTACTTTGAAAATTTTTAAAGCTATAGAAGTGCTAGATAGATCTTTTTTAATCATTCAGATACATCTGGTCTTAACCCATTATAACAGTATGGGCCCAATCAGGCAGATAGATTATAATAATCTGTTCCTGTGATTTAAAAAAAAAAACCTCTCCTTGTTTTGGGCATAAATGCTTCCCAAGCAGCCAGAGCATCATGAGGTGGGCTAGGATGAGAAGAAAGGCATTGAAGGGGGGAAGGGGGAAAGTAAGATCTTTACGAAAAATATGTTTCTTCAGCCATTTAGCATCTGTGCCCAGGGACCCAGAATTTCAGCTAATGTTCCTATTTATGGTCTTCTGAAAGGCCTTTTAGAGTCCTGAATTGTTCAAGCTAAGAGGAGTCATCTAGTCAAGCCCCCTCGTTTTAGAGAGGAAGAAAGACCCAGGGGCAGCTAAGTAGCACAGTGGATAGAGCACCAGCCCTGGAGTCAGGAGGACCTGAGTTCAAATCTGGCCTCAGACACATAATACCTACTAGCTGTGTGACCCTGGGCAAGTCACTTAACCCCAATTGCCTTGCCAAACTAAAAAAAAATACCCAGAGAGAAGCGACCTGACCAAGATCACAAAGCCAATCTGGGACTTGAACCCAGATCTGGTTTCCCCCTCATTGTAAAATCAAAAATCCACAGGTTGTACCCTTCATATCCTTCTTCCCCCAAACTGGCCCACAATAAAGGTTGACTGTTTATGGTTAGTCAGAACATAGATTTAGAGCTGGAAGGAGACCATTGAATCCAACCCCTTCATTTTTACAGAAAAGGAAACTGAGACCCAGGGAGATGAGTTGACACCCAAAGTCACATGATATTGAAAGCAGGATTTGAAACTAGGTCTTCTGAATTCAAATCCAGTACTCTATTACTCAATACATCCTCTGAGGGCTCACTCCCTCTCACTTCTCTCCTTCACAGAGTGGCCAGAGTTTGTGAAGAATTATGCACCATGGTGGGCCACGCACACATTGGACTGGCTAAAGTATGGCAAGAAGGTGTTGGTGGTGCATTTTGAAGACCTCAAGCAGGACCTGTTCACCCAGCTGGAGAGGATGGTCAGCCTCTTAGATGTGGATGTCTTGGAGGACAGGCTCCTGTGCGTGGAGGGTCAGAAGGATGGAAACTTTAAGCGCTCAGGGCTGAGAAAGCTAGAGTATGACCCTTACACCCCTGAGATGCAGAACACCATCAACTCCTATATCAAGATGGTGGACAGGGCCCTCAAACTGAGGAATCTCACGGGAGTCCCAGATGACTACTACCCAAGATGATGAGGAGGTCTGTGGGGAGACCAGGATAGCAAGGATGGGGAGGGAGGAGGCCCAGGGATCCCAGCAGAGTTGGCCAGCTCCATACTCTGAGAGCTAGCCAGACGGTTGGGCTAAATTTTGGGCTTGGCTTTTGGATGACCCATTTTGCTGCTATGCCCATTCAGGAGTTTCCTGCATGAAAACTAACTCATTCCTAAGGTGAACATTACACACACACACACACACACACACACACACACACACACACACACACA